TCCCATAAAGGCCCTTCGCCTGGACAGCGGTTCGCTGCGTTGCATTCCATGGTGCCTCGGGAAGCCTTACCTTCATCACACCGTCCATCGCTGTGCTGTGGGACACTTACCTTAAAGAATCCTGACATCTCCAGTGCCGTGCCTGTCCTGGGAGTGTGAGTATGCGAGTGTGAGTGTGACCCCCCCCCCCTTTCTTTTGAGCTTAGCTATCAGTATAATAAAACATGCTGCTTTCTGCCAAACTCTGGTGGGTCATTAGTCCCCCCCTAAGCTTACTAGCTGGCCCAATTTCGGGTAACATTAATGGTGGAGAATGCGGGCAGCTTAGTGGAGGATTTGACCCAAGAGTAGGGGTCCCCTGGTGCCCCCCAATGCTCTCTTGGGTGGGTCCGGCTCAAGCCTGCATGAAAAAGTGGTAGGCTAGCAACCCGCTGCAGGGAGAAAAGGACGCTGCTGCTAAGTATGCCACTGTGGGGCAAGGGGAAGAAAAAGGCAAAGCAGCCTGAGTGAGAAGACACTCCCCCTTGGGGAACGGCACCGCTGCCTGGGGTGTTGTTAAAAGGACTCCAAAAGAAATGGGCAGAGCCTTGGATGCCAGGGGCAGTTCCACCTGGAAGTACAATTCATGAGTTGGATAAGGAACTGGATATGTGAAAGGCGCAGGTTCTGACTGCGAAAGTAGAGAATGCCACTCTGAGCCAGGCAGTTACCTGCCTGAAGGATCTGGTCCTGAAGGGGCCCACCCGGGAGAACAGGGTCCGGGGGGCTTATTCAGCTTGGGTCGCCACCATTGGGGTGAAAGCCCAGAGGGGTGTGGGACCATATGATGATTGAGACGGGGATATCTGGTATGATCCAGATCCCCCAGATCCGGACCCCGGATGGCCAGATCCCAGACACTGTGTTGTGGCAATCCAAAGGGTGGTCCGAAACTATGGGCCTGCGCCCGCAGGTGGCAGGGAAGCTCCAAGTACCAGACACACTATGGCAGAGATCGAGTTGACTCCCGAGCAAGCAATAAAGTTAGCAAAAACCCTGGAGAAAAAATGGGTACACCGCAGACAACTTAAACAAGCAGGGTCTGCCCCAGTGGGAGCACTGTGCTAATTTGTTTCTAAGCTTCTATCTTTCAGCCTCCGAACCAGAACATCAGAAGAGCTGGTACCAGCTAAAGAGTTACAGAAATACCATGGTTATAGCGTCATGACAAAGTCCATGTTCAGTGTTCCATGTTCTGTATCTGTCTCTGGTGGGTGTCCTGTGCTAGCATTGGGTCCAAAGAGAGAGAGGGGATACTACACTAGACAGGGTAAATGCCTTTTTCTTTCTCTACTTCCCACATCTCCAACCAAATTATCTATCACATCCACCTCTGTCCAAAGGACTTTGGTCCCCAATGCATCAGGTTTATTTTTTGTTAGGTTCTCTAATAATCATTTTGTTGTTGATTTTTGTTATTAATACATTTGTATTGTTAGTAACATTTTCTTGCATTGTTAATTCCACACTTTCCTCTATGCACCCTGGTTCTACTTCCCCAAGCCCTTAAGGGTTGTTCATGGGCCCCCATTATCACCTCCTAGTGGGATTTTTGACCTTGGCCCGTAATTGTAGGGCCCTGTCTTTCAGGTCTTGGAATTGTTGCTCCCCCCCACCCCCCAAGACCTCTTGAAAATAACTGTTAGTAATAGAGGATTCTGCAACATTTTAGCAACTAAATGTTGGTGAAATTGCTGATATTTAAACTAAGTTCTCTGTTACTATGTGTCAGAACTATAAAGGGAAGGGTAACAGCTGTCCTGTGTACAGTACTATAAAATCCCTCCTGGCCAGAGACTCCAAAATCCTTTTCCCTGTAAAGGGTTAAGAAGCTCAGGTAACCTGGCTGGCATCTGACCCAAAGGACCAATAAGGGGACAAGATACTTTCAAATCTGGGGGGGTGGAGGGGGGGCTTTTGTTTGTGCTCTTTGTTTGGGTTGTTCGTTCGCTCTTGGGACTGAGAGGGACCAGACATCAATCCAGGTTCTCCAGATCTTTCTGAACAAGTATGGGAAGCTTAAAGTTACTCTGGTTACGACCCCACTTGCAGTGTT